TCAAATAGAAACTCAACTTGTTAGAATGATCTGATACAAACTTTTAAGGGTTTTCCCTCTATTTGGAGTTTTGTAATGATCACACCCAACCATATCAGTGGCATGAAGAATACCATGCTGTCTTTGCCTTTATTTATGAGTGAATTAAACTTAAGTGAGGTGTCCCGCACTTAATTGGCCAGCCCTCGTGGACTTCTTGGACACCACAAGAAAGTATAGAACAAATTATACATCTAGCAAGAGGACAAGTCCTAAAGACCGGAAGCCAAGATAAGTCAAAAAGTTAAGAAATGTCACTACTTTCTTCAACATTTCATTTCCTTGACACCTGTTATATATCTTTTATATTACCACGAGTTCTATATTTGATGTAAAGCTACATTTTGTTTTACTATTCTAGACTAGTTATCGTTTTTTTGTGACATATTAGCAATAGACAGCTACCGGGTATTCTGACTTATCTAACATCTCAGTCTGTCTGTTTAACGTGGCCAAACTGTCGTCATAGATTCAGGCCACGATTTAATTTTCAAGTCCTTCGAAAGGTCAGTATCTCTTTAATATCTGCCCATATCTATCAGAATTACTATGTCGTAGCGTCAAAGCGTATTGATCAGTGTTTCTGAGCCCTCTCCTGTTTAATTTTATTTCACACTTTGTTTTGACCTAGGTGGTAATGTGAGGCACCCTGTTGAGTGGGATGATTACATGGAGAGGCATCCTTGCTTCATTAGTAGACCCCTAGTATCATTTTCCCCCACAACCAAGTATTACTTATTTATGATTATTGATCTCAGCGAATGTGTCGGATTTGTCTCTATCGCGGCTCGCCTGCGGGCGCCCGTACGTTTTTTCTCGCCTTGATGGAGCACTTTCCAGGTGACATTTAAAAATGCGGCACCCCGTTGAAACGCCGTCGTCAGAAGCGCGACAAAAACTCCTTTGAAATGTCATGAATTGCCATTGGCACGCTCGAGCGGAGGGGTCGCCGCCGCTGACACCTGGGGGGATCCCTGCCCACCCGAGGAGAAAAACCATTTGCATAATTACAGGGCGTCTCGATACATGTTGATCTTGTCCGTAGCTGGCCGGTCGGTTGGTAAAAAATTAAAACTTTAACCACCTTCCAAACAACATGTCGAGTTCGGGAAGAGAAAGACGGCACAAATCGTTTGCATAATTACAGAGCGTCTCGATACATGTTGATCCTGGCCGGTCGGTAGAAAATTAAAACTTTAACCACCTTTGTACCAGCTATACCGATACAGAGCTAGCTGCCGCCCCGCTGCGTGCCGCGTGAAGCTGGTGTGTTATGCCAAAGGGCAGTTATACTCAGTCTGGTTATACAGATACAGATAGAGAAGCTGGTGTGTTACACCGAAGGGCGGTTATACCGGCTACACAGATACAGATACAGAAGCTGGTGTGTTATACCAAAGGGCAGTTACACTGGCTATACAGATACAGATACAGAAGCTGGTGTGCCAAAGGGCAGATAACACCGGCTATACAGATACAGATACAGAAGCTGGTGTGTTACACCGAAGGGCGGTTATACCGGCTACACAGATACAGATACAGAAGCTGGTGTGTTATACCAAAGGGCAGTTACACTGGCTATACAGATACAGATACAGAAGCTGGTGTGCCAAAGGGCAGATACACCGGCTATACAGATACAGATACAGAAGCTGGTGTGTTACACCAAAGGGCAGTTACACCAGCTATACAGAATCTGATACAGATACAGAAGCTGGTGTGTTACGCCGAAGGGCGGTTTTACCGGCTATACAGATACAGAAGCTGGTGTGTTATGCTAAAGGGCAGTTATACCGGTTATACAGATACAGATACACCTTCTGAACGTGTTGAGTCGGGGGTTAGAGACGGTACCTCTGCGGGATGGTTTCTGACCCAGACCCGTGCCAGGTCCCAGGCTGTTGCATGTGTGATGTACGGCAACACATTTTAACTCAAACTCAGACATTTCCATTACGCTCGGGGCAGGTATATCACTTCTCTTAAAAAAAACACTTCTTAAAAAAGAAGATCTATGCTGGCGTGCTCTGTGGCATTTAATTGTGCAGACAACATCAGAAAGGTCACTATTTATAAATTTACACTCCATCTTTGCCACATTCCTGGTGCCACCGCATCTGCACATGACCCCGGCCGCCCCGCCTTCCCCGCTGTAAATACCAAAGGACCAGGGGGCAGCCATCGTGTGCGCGAGTGACGGCTCCTCATTTGACTGGGCAGAATTAGGTGCCCAGGAGTTACACTCCCGGGTCGCCGAGAGAATGACATGGCGTCTAATTACGGGGGGCGCCGGCGACGTATCGGTACCTCCAATTTCGGGCCACTATTTATAAAATGTCACCCTGCCATTTGCCGAGGGGAGGTTTGTCACCCGCGGATTGATCTCTCCGCGGCAGGAGGGGCTTTTAATTTGTCGTGCGGTAATTGCATGCATGAGATTAATCTCGGGGCCGCTACAAAACAAGAAATCACACCTTGTCTGCGAGGAGGCAAGTGTTATATCATAGTTTTCATGTGCTTTTTGTTTTATTTTTAGTGTAGAGAGTTACATGACTGCTTGTATCTTTGCATATTAACCTTCTCCCTGCTGCCTAACCCTGTAAGGCCATGTTGATTTGATTATATGGATGACATCCTCTGGGAACCCCAAAACTGATGCGAGCGCGCGAATAAAAAAAAAGTTTTGCAAAAAAAAAAAAAGTTGCTTTCATGAAATCTACGTTGTTATGAAGGTCGAACAAATGACAGAGTATGGTATGGCGAATGATCTACTCTTTAAATTCATTTCTTTGCATTTCAGTTTTTTGTTTGATTTTGGCATTCTACGACGTTGGAATTGTTTTCAAATATTTTTTTTGCAACTTTCGGTATACATTTGCTCATTTTGCAACTGTTTTGTACAATTTACAGTGTGGTTGGAAACTTTTTTTTTTGGAAACGGCCGAAAATTCATGCGCGCGCGGATGTCATCCATATAATCAAATCAACATGGCCTAACCGATAGAAAAGAGGCAGCCAAATGGCTATTTCAGTGCACTAAAGGTTTACTGTAAATCATGACATTTTTGCAGTGGTTTGATTTTTGCAGTTTACTCGTCCTCCTAGTGCAAAATCTTGACACCGCAAAGTATGTTTTTTATATGATTTTATCTCTTGTACCACAAAATTGAACCATGAACTTGAAACATTTTCCCCTCATACTACATAAAGTACTAAAAAATGTTCTGCAAAAGTACATGCTTTTACAGTTAGTACATTTTGTTCAACTAGTATAGTATTACCTCTACTTGTTGTATGATTTCCCCAAAATGTATCTTTACATTGATTGCAGGTAAAAGTTGTCTGTTATTTTCAATGCTACCTGCAAAAAAGTATAATTTTGATCCTTCTTGCCAGCTGACACCACACTACTGGCTGTCCCTGTCCCTGGTGCTGAAGGACCTTCCATAACCCCCCTGTCAGACTCCCTGGTGCTGATTGTCAGCTAAAATAGCACCCTGGTGCTGCCTGCATTAGTTCAATAGGCAGTAGCCATTTACAGTGTGCCACCAATAGAAATGCCACTCTATCTAGACTAGAGCTTTGTTGGTAAAAAAAAAACATAAATTTGAAAATGCTGAATGTTAAGGTTTCAACTCGTTTTTTTTTAATGAAATGAAATGTAAATTACCTAAATTACCTGGTTCTGCCTGCATTAGTTCAATAGGCAGTAGCCATTTACAGTGTGCCACCAATGCAAAATCTACTTTATCTAGAATTCTGGTGGTCAGAAAAATGTAAAGTTGAAAATGTTGAAAGCTAGCAGGGCTTGACCTTGAGTTTTTCGGGGGGTAGACAACACTGAAAATTACCCATATTTGCTGGTGCTGCCTGCATTACTTCAATAAGCAATAGCCATTTCCAGTGTGCCACCAATAGAAATACCACTCTATCTAGAGTTCTTGTGGTCAGAAAAAGTAAATTTGAAAATGCTGAATGTTAACAAGGCTTCAACTCGTTTTTTTTAGGGGGGGGGACAACAATGAAAATTACCTATATTTGCTGGTGCTGCCTGCATTACTCCAATAAGCCATTTCCAGTGTGCCACCAATAGAAATACCACTCTATCTAGAGTTCTTGTGGTCAGAAAAAGGAAATTTGAAAATGCTGAATGTTAACAAGGCTTCAACTCGTTTTTTTTGGGGGGGGGGGACAACAATGAAAATTACCTATATTTGCTGGTGCTGCCTGCAGTGTGCCACCAATAGAAATACCACTCTATCTAGAGTTCTGGTGGTCAGAAAAATGTACATTTAAAGACTAAACGTTAGTAGGGCTTGAAATACTTTTTTCTGCAGATAACACTGAAAATTACTTGCACCAGATTTTTGCCTGTGCCATTCAAAGTTTTTAGGAAGTGTGAGTTGTAAAAACTGTTATCTCACTTAAACATGGGTGACAGCAGTCAAAACAGCAAACAATACTGTAACAATAATTATTATAATATGAATACCAGTAAAACAAGAAATTCACCAAAACTCTTTGAATTCTTTGTTCCCCTGCAGCTTTGCCTTGCTAGGTCCCCGACAGTGTGCCACGTGCCAACATGATGTCTCATTCCATTTATTTAACAAGAGCTTTGTTAAACTACATATGAATAAAGGACTTTGCTATTCAATGTCTGATTCTTGTGTTTCCCTGCAGTTTTGCCCTGCTGGGTCCCCGCCAGTGTGCCACGTGCCAACATGATGTCTCATTCAATTTATTTAACAAGAGCTTTGTTAAACTACATATGAATAAAGGACTTTGCTATTCAATGTCTGATTCTTGTGTTTCCCTGCAGTTTTGCCCTGCTGGGTCCCCGACAGTGTGCCACGTGCCAACATGATGTCTCATTCCATTTATTTAACAAGAGCTTTGTTAAACTACATATGAATAAAGGACTTTGCTATTCAATGTCTGATTTTTGTGTTCCCCTGCAGCTTTGCCCTGCTAGGTCCCCGCCAGTGTGCCACTTGCCAACATGCCGTCACCCTCCACCGTCCCCAGACTGATGTAGACAAGCTCATCGTACAGAGGGTGGCACAGGCAGGACACCTCAGGTGTCAGACAAAGGTAACAAAAGGGAAAGACAGTAATCTTAAAGCTGTTTATCTCAAATGAACTAAATGATCAGTTGAGCTACTCTTCTTAGAAAGCTGACACTATGTATAGTATTTATAGGACTTTTTCATTGCTACACAAACAAGGTCAAACATTAATGCTGACTTATACAGCACATGTTTCTGTAGGCTTTGTATTTTGTAATACATACTTAGTGTACCTTGTTTCTTAAGTATTTAAGCCACATCCTAAGTTTTGTAGTGGCTATAGATGTTTTCGTGGTGTCATGAATAGAAAGCTCAGCGAAATAAAAGCATAGCAAAAGTTTCAAGATTTATAGTGCATGTACATCCCCTTCAGAGATCTTCAGATGAAGAAGGCAATTTGAAGATGCTCCAATGAAGAAAGTGTCCCCTCATTAAGACTATCCTGCTGTTTATTTCCTGCCCCCCCCCCCAGGTGAGTCGAGATGAGGCCAGGAAGCTGCAGGTGTTGGCTGAGGAGGACGGATGCGGGAACTTCCAGGCGTTCGAGCCTGTCACCATCAGGCACCTGGAGGAGGAGGATGTGGACCTCGCTGTGGTAAGAGTTGCAAAGATCTTTAAGTTTATGTTTCAAGTTAAAACTTTAGATCCAACACAAAGAAAATGGTCACTTGACTTCTTTGAAGTGTGACATCAACATTGGGTCTTAAAGTTTATTTGTTATGTTTACCTTTGCAGAAGTAAAACATCTTTTGCTCTGTTTCTTCGTCAATCTCCAAACATATAAGGTCAATGACCTGGACCAGATGTCTGTCACCATGGTAACTGGTGCTGTAACAGTAGCAGGACAGAGTTGTAGGGGCAGGTTACATTTATATGAATGTGTTTTAGTAGGAATAGATAGAGCAGTAGTTTGTCAGGCCAGACCATGTGAAGGTAATAAAACATTATGACATTGTGTTTGCTTTGCAAGTACATATATTACCTTTCTAGTTTATTTCTATTTTCTTTAGCCAGGTTAGACCAGCTGAGTGACTTTACACTGCTTTACACTGATGCCCTGAACATATATGAATCATGTATATACACAATGATAGCAAGCAAAAAAAGATAAATAAGCAAACAAGAATAATTGTGTATATTTCAGGAGAAGCAGAGGTGTCCGTGCCGGGGGTTCAGTACAGCTGACCTGCCTAAGTTACTGAAGCAGTATCACGGCTTGAGGTGAGTTCTGCTGACAGCTTGGCATTGCCAATAGTGTCTTAAAATGTATTTTGTGATTTTCGATATGAGAAATCTATGATTCTTTTTTCTCTGAGGGTAAAGACACGCTAGTTCATTTCGTTGGTTCTCGGACATTTCAAGGTGAAATTCAAGCACACATCTTGAAACCAGAAGGCATGGCTTGAAACTTAGTGCACCTGTTAAAGGTTTGAGCATTTTCCTCAAGCTTTTTTTTCCACAATTGAACATAGTTTTTAAAAATCAGAGAACCAAACAATTAAATTGGTGTGGCCTAAGGTGTTTTCAATGCTCCCAGCAAGATATTTCTGTGTCTTTTCTTACTGAAACATACTTATCCCTACTGACTTGAGGAGCACCTTAAGTTCTCTTCCTCCAGGTTGGTCTGTCCTGGGCCAGCTCCCAGGCCATTTGCAGGTGAAATCATCTAAACTCTCTTACCCTTATGCAAATCAAAGTGGAGCTAACTGGCAACCCACTGCATTAGAATAAAGAAACAGTTGCTAGTTTTCAGTTGCTAGTTTTTAAACTTTGACCATGTATCGTAGGCCAGCTCCCAGCCCATTCTTAGGTGAAACCCTTCAATCCCTCGCACATTATGAAAATCAATGTGGAGCTGTGCGCCAGAATAGGGACCCACAACAGAAGAATAAAGACTGAAACAATCACTACAAATCTTAAACCTTGACCATGTGTCCTGGGCTAGCTCCTAGGCCAGCCTTAGGTGAAACACTCCAATCCCTTTAGCACATTTTGCAAATCAAAGTGGAGCAGACTAGTGACCCACCGCAGAAGGAAAAAAGAAGAGACAATTGCTACAAAACCTTGAACAGGGTGGAGCCCTGTCCCCTGGCCCTTCCCAATAAATCCAGGTCACACTAGAGCCAGGGAGCTCCTGTATGGTGCCATGCACACGTCGTCACCTCTCCCACCCCTCCTGGTACCGTTACATGGACTCTGCACACCCCCTGCAACCTGCGGCCCCCGGGATCTCACACACCCCTCCTCACACAGGTCACAACATCACCGACACGCTTCCTGGAGACATCTTCAAATACTCATTGGTTCTCTGAGACCAGCACAGACCACATGTACGTTATTTCATTTTGTGTGTTACAAGTTAAATCAACTCCTCATGACAAAGATGGACAGACAGACAAAAGAGGATGGGTTAAACCCTCCTTGCACAGGTCACAACATCACCACTATGCTTCCTGAAGACATCTTCAAGCACAAACACAGTCATAATGTTGGTTCAGTACAGATTCAAAGAGATTCTTTATTGACTCAACAAAAAGTACAGGGACTTGTACGTACATGTAGCTGCATCATTTTATGGTACGATGCTAAACTTTACTCCAACACATAGGGTATACCAGGATCAAATTTTCAATGACCACTTTCGTCTTCATCAGCATAATTGATGACCATGATCGTAATATGATTACTACCAACACAGATGTACATCATTTGTGTGTTGCAAAATCAACTTCTCAAGTCATCTTCTCAAGTCTTTTTCTCAACTCAAGACAGACAAAAAGAGCAGGGGTCCTTCCCAGTGTGAGTGGATCAATGTTTCTTACAGTCTGGTCTCCAGGTTGACATCTTGGAAAAGTGATAGTCACCTGTCATCAATTCCTTCGACAAATCTGCTAAAGCTCGATAAATAAGTAAAATATATTAGATTATTTAATAATACGTTTCTTATTCAAGTGCCAAGGACAGAGTTATTGTGCAAGAAAAGGACCCCATCACACGTATCTCGCAACTCCCCAAGGGCCAACCAACCAAAGCAAATGCATGGTCACAGTCAAACAGAGTAAAAAAACAAACTTGCCACTACATCACACGATTTGCGCAATACCATCCTATCTGATCTTGCACAGCGGCTCGATCAAGGCCATGTAATGTAGCATATGTGCTGCCCATCCCCCTGTACCAACCAGATAGGGACTTTGGGGATCCTGATGAAAGTTTTGGGTCAATCTTCCTGAAAATGTCAATCCCTTATTGAGACCCGCGAGTTACGACTCAATATGGCATTTCAGCTGGTCCAGTGGTTTTCTATGGTCCATATTACTCCTGCCGCTATCTCGTATTCATACCTGTCAAGTTTATAAAGTCTCCGCGTCGGAGATTTGTCGGGGAAAGGGCATCGCAGAGTCACTGGGCTGTGCGCGAATTGGAGCCGTGCAATGCGGGGCTTTGTACAAAATTGAGGCTAGACTGGGGGCTCAAGACCAATTTTGTACTGTGTGCCCAGAAGATTTAGGAGAGTTTAGATACTTGACATTGTTTAAGTAAAGGTTATCTGCTTTTTTATTCAGATGCTGATAGCAATTGTGATTTTTTTGGACCTCCCTTACATTATATGAATATAAATAACCTGCATGATTATTTACCATTTAGCTATTGAGCAGTATGAGCTACAAAATAGATACTAAACAAATCCTAAAATTTTACTTTCTACACACTAAGGAATAAAGTCTGTAATATCTTGTCAGTTGGGAATCATCATGGGTTTCACTATCATTTCTAGTAACAAAACAGGCTTGTATATGTTGTGTATTTACCTATTATGAATAGATACTGTATTTGGGTGCTATTATAATTAGTGAGATAACCTTTTTTTAATGTCCCGGAGAACTGACAATACATCTTCCTTCCCCTCTCCTGAACCTTGTCTGAGTGCTCCAGACATTAAGATTCCTAACAGTGAACTGAGTGACATCCGTGTAACATCAGAGTTCAGGCCATATGCCAGGAGGTGCGGGGTAGGGTCCCAGGCAAGGCGAGATCCGCTCAGAGGGGATAGCTCTGATGGTCCCGGGTCAATCTTCCCGAAAGTGTCAATCATGTGTTTAGGCCCAGGAGTTCCAGCTGACATGGCATTTCTTAGGGTCGAGCTGGTTTCTATAGCAGACATTACCCTCGCCACCTTTCTTTATCTCCCTAATATTCTACAGACACAGTTGAGTAGAGCCTCCTTCTCTATACACAATGCTCGTCTTATCTGGGCAGACTGCACAATGCCCTTGTCCCTCGGTGGTTGCTTTTTTTAATTCTGCACTGGCTGGCAACCCCTTCAGATTTAGCCGCATGTCGGCAGAACGTACTGCGCCTGCGTGAAAGTCGGATTTTGCTCAGGTTTTGTTGGATGTTTGGTCAACGTTGCATCAGAATTTTGCCTGTTGCAGACGATATCTATTCTAACACTGGCAACCCCTTTAGATTTAGCGGCACGTCGGCAGAACGTACTGCGCCTGCGTGAAACCCGGATTTTTCTCGGGTTTTGTTGGATGTTTGGTCAACATTGCATCAGAATTTTGCCTGTTGAACACTTGAAAACTACCGACAGAATATGATCCTTAAGACACAAAACAGAGATGTTCCTTCAACTGAAGTGCCATGGACAATACATTACGGATTTTGTGTAGGTGCAGTACATTCTTCCAACATGTTAGATTCACCCTATCTGTTATGATAATTAAGCTTCATGTATATCTGAGTATGTAATGTTGAAAAAAAACATTGATGAGGGATGAAGGAGGTTATAGAGACATTTGAACTGTCCTTGGTGCTGAATGTTAGTTCCAGTGATGTCACAAGTCTCAATTTAGCCAAAAGTAACAATCACACAGAAGTCAGTTGCAAGTGACCTGAGTATGGAAGTAACTAGTGAAAGTCACCAGAATCTATAATTTATTTATTTCATCACAAGATGGCTGGGTGGCACCATTCAGCTTGTATTATTAGCTGTTTTCCAAGGGGGCCCAGTAAAATTACAAGACAGGACATTGTTACATACAGTAAAACAAGAGTGAACAACATACATTAAACATTAAAGTCTGATGCTTCAAAACAGTCATAGTCCTATACTCAAAGTCCTAGCCGTTCAAAGGTCAAAACACGAAAATTAGAGTCAATGCAAATTATTATATTTCACTTCTAAGAGTAAAGTCAGCTCGTGTCCATTGAAACACACAGAGCAAATCTGTGTGTGATATTCAGATGCAGCCTCGGGATCACAACTGGAGGAACCTACGGGTCAGCAGTTGCTGACGGTCAGCCTCGCGCTTAAGACTTAAGTGCTGAATATTGGTTCTGCGTCTGGGCATAAGAAAACAATGTTGTGTTTCCTGTTTCAGTCCTGAAAAAATTAGGGCCAGTAGGTTGGGATTGTCTTTTCTTTCTTTTTTTTTTAATTAGATCTTGGCAATCTCTAGTGATCCAACTTATACAATACAGTTTAACAAACTTTAAGTAAAAGTTGCATGATGACACTTATATTTTCAATATCAATGTTAGAAAACCAAATTGTACAATGTTTCATCACTCAGGTGTCAGAAGCAGGGAGCTAGAAACGATCAATCAGCTCAAAAAATTTATATCCCTTGCAGGGTTCCCCCCCCCCCCAAAAAAAAAAGGCTAGGGTCCGTATTTTTTTCTAGCGTCAGTGTCAGTCAGGAAACAGGAAACAAAACTTTTTTCCCAGGCCTTGTTAATGCATGGGCAGGGACATGTATGTGATGGCTTACTATACTACAGCAACAGTTTCATCACCATGGACAGGGCCTTGGGAATCTAGCAATCAGTAAATTTTTACTAGGGCCAAATATGGTTAAGACAATACATGATAGTGTACTGTGTGCTGTTCTTGGTAAACCACTTGCAGGAGTCCACAAAAAAAAGGTTAGGGTCAGTTGGGAAACCTTTACCTTAGACCTTAGATCCTCCCGCAACTACTGTTGCATCGGTCGACTAGTAGTTCTGACAGAACTTCTCCAGGTACTTCTGTTTTGGGCCGCAGCAGACATGTCTTCTAGTGTATCGAACCCCAGTTTTTTCCCATCGTTTAGGATAGTTCTACGGAGGGTAGTTCTAGGTCTACCCCTCGGGTGTTTCCCCTCTGGTTTCCAGTCCAGGTCGGGAAACAGGAAACACAATTTTTTGTTTCCTAGGCCCCGGCATGCTCCAGTACT